CATACTGATCACTTGTTCCTCTGTGTAAATGCGTATATCCCATGGAACTTGAAATAAAGGATTCAACAGAAACATTTAAGTCCGCCTCATATCTTGACTTACATCAAGAAATTGACAAATTGGGTCAATTGAAAACAAAACTTTCCGACAAAAGAGATGATTTCAGCATTCCAATTGTGAACATTCAATTTTTATGTAGCTACATTTCAGCATTGCATGCATATGAAGTATATATCTCCCGGTTTATACGATATTCAAGAGTTTATATTTCTATTAAGGATTTTCCGTGATAGTGGGTTGTTGCTTACAACGAAGCTATTAAACCAAGAGATCCAAGTTGAGTAGTTGAAATCTTCCCTTTGAAAATGTTACGGACGCCATTACGAGTTGGTTGACTGTTATGAAGTATCTGTTTCACAGATGACGACGGATATGTTCCAACTGTCGTATCCATAATTCCGTCCTATTTTCCTCGAATGTGACCTACCAAATTGGACTTATTACCGGGTTTGTACTTACATGAGGGACACGACAGAGGTCACATGTGGAGCAAATTTTGCCTACCCTTCCAGAGCACTTGATATAACCCCGGTTTTTGGTGGGTTCGTGTTGCTCGGTCTTTAGTTTTCTATGTTGTATTTTGTAAAATGTTTGTCTTTTCGTCGTTTTAAATTTTTGCCATGGCATGGTGAGTTTTTTTTCGACTTTGAGTTTAAATATCACTTTGGTATCTTTCGCCTCTCTTTTAATAATTTATATTCTGTCCATACTAATGCGTTCATTTAATAATTTTTTGCAAGACCAAATCTGCGTGAATTCACGCCATAGTTAATCCAATATATTCCTGTTTTATCGTAAACACAACAGTAATAGCTTAACAGGTTCCCTTTCATAATATACATCAGGGATTGATAATCATATTTGATATCCAATTTAGTTGAATAAAAACTATTCTAAATACCTGTTGTGATGCAAAAATGAGCATGCGATGAGAAATTTTTGCCAACTGCATAGAAAGAATTTAATTAACAAACATAGCCTTGAAATAATGATGACAAAAACAGTTTTGCTACAGTAACTAGAGTATATTTTTAATTATGAAGTTTATAATCTTAACTACTGTATAATTCATTCAATTACCTCAGTGGAAATAGAGACATTGACAATAACCTTTTAATTCTGTACAGGTTCATTACTCCTTTAAAGCATTCTTCGTAAAGATCACAGAATTTTATATAAAAATAAAGAGAGGTGGTAATATTGCCAAAGAGACAACTATTCACAAGAAACCAAAAAACGCTGGTGTAACAACAATTCTAATTTAAGAATGTAGCACTTGATTTTAAAAAAATAAGGATCCAGTGCCTTTCCTCAAGTGTACATATTATTGAGGATGCAACATTACATATATATATATATATATATATAACTTTATAGTAAAAAAATCTTGAACTATATAGAACTGATTTTGAACAAAAGAGAAAGGAAAATATAATCTATTATTCTATTTGTTCATTATGTCATCATTGTTTTATTCCGGCTATTGAATTTAAAACATTTTGTATGAGGCAGACGGGATTCTAAGTTGTACAGGTTAGTTTCTTTCATACATTGACTTTTCTTATTCTACACTTTCGACAGAAATCAATACTGAGGGTCAGTAGAAAACGTAATTTTACTTCCAACGAAATGACTAAGGTAGTCCCATTGTGAACTTTCCATTTATATGTTGCAACATACCAGCATCACCTGTATTTATTGAGTATATATCTACCAGTTGATACGATATTCCAGAGCTTACGATTTTATCATGATTTCATGAAAAGAGGTTTCTATTTTGAGCTAACCAAAAGGTTTTTAATTCTTAATTGAAGTTTATTAGTCGAAAGTTTTACAGACGCGATCAGTTGCGATTCAGCATCAATCCCAAGAACATAAAGTACTACTTCTATAGTGTAAACAAAGTGAAAGACCAATTTTCTCGCCTTTCGATGTTCATTGGATAAAATTCATTTGTGTAGATATAAGTAAAGTAACAATGGTTGCATTTGACAATTATAATACCGATTAAAAGCCCTAGAGTTTTATTTATATTACATGTGTCATGCATCGCTTGAATTATTAATTATAAAGCAGATACAACGTATTTGATGGCAACAGAAAATTGTACGTTTCATAAACTAGTTATCTATTCGTCGATTTAAAATTTAAAATAAAAAGAAATGATACAATAAAGACCAATGATTTGCGATAGAAAGCTTATTTATCTTTTTTTTATGTAAAAAAGCAAAAAATTCAAATGGCCATTATTAATGTTAAAGATTAAGTAATATACACAGAACAGCATACATTCTTGAAATGCAATAAATAGTTCTAAATATTTTTAAAACGCCTATGTAATTAAGTCATCTTACAGGGATAATTATCGGAAAATTATGTCTTTAAAACCGTGTCATTTTGTCAAATTAGTGATGCGCATTTTTAACTAATTAAAGGTTCTGAACATCCGTGATAGATAAAATATTACAAAAGGGTGACTTAATAAGTATGAGCAATACACATCCCTGATGGATATAACATTACAATGACAGCAATTTTATAGTATGAATATGTCCATTTTTATCCTGAGGTGAATATAAAAAGAGGCGGAAGTTACCAAAGGGACAATATACAGTACTTACATTATTTTTGAATAAAGAACTTGATTACCGCTTTCGAAACAGCATATTCCGAATATAAAATAAGGCGGCGACACATGTTACCGAATGTATATGTATAGGAAGACCTTTTATCAAATGGAATTTCTACTTTTGCTTTAATTTACTTTTGTTGTGAAATTAGATTGATCACGGCATTGTGTATCAAACATTCTACTTAAGGATGTTCGTTGGAATTTTGTTTTACTTTTTGTCAGATATTAGGAGACCTCTGTTTATATCCATGTAGTGCAAATAAAAAGTTTGTCCACTTACTCCTACTTTTCTTTTCATAATTTAATTACATATAGTTTAAACAGTCATTTTTTAAAGTCTTTTTTCATAGTTTTAATTTGAAAGAAAAAGGCGTTAATGTTAAATGTATTAAAAATCTACAACAAAATCATTTCTAATTTAGAACAATTCCTAAAAAACCCTCTGACATGTGACTGTTCCCACTCGCCTTACAATTACAGCCCCTCTGGCCATGTTATTACTGGGGATCTAAACATAATTCAACATGAAAATCTCCGAAAGGTAATTTCTCATGGTCCTAAGTTTAGAGAACCCCAACACATCAATTGGAACCATAACTTCAAAATAATTATGGATTCTATTGAGGACTACGCCAGAGCATGGGTTAAACGAGAAGAAGTTCAACTGGACACTTTGTCAGAACGGGTCAAAACAATCAGGTCTCTAATAAAACGCCGCATACATAAGTTGAAAAACTGTGTGAATGATCGACCAAAGTCCGTTTTCAGAGACAAAGAGGCTGTGAAATGTCTATCATCTCTTCATGTTAAGTATGTTGTTGTTCCTGCGGACAAAGCTTCAAATAATATTGTCTTTGTATGTAAATCGTATTACTACGAGTGTCTTGTAAAAGAATTAGGAATAAATGAGCACTCAGGTAACCCCACATACAAAAACATATCATTTGACAAGGATGAGATTTTGACGAATCATAAGTCCTTCATGGCTTCAATGAACATTGCATTGAACAACAAATCGGAAGACTTACCTTGTTTGTTTTGGATACCTAAACTTTACAAAATTCCGTACAAACAACGGTACGTTGCCGGCTCATCTGCATGTTCCACTAAAGAATTGTCCATTAAATTGACTAAAATTCTGTCCACAGTGAAAGAGGGTCTTTAGAAATACTGTGAAACTGTTTACTCGCGTAGTGGTATTAACCATATGTAGATTCTAAAAAACTCTAAAGAACTTTTGGATAATTTTAAATCTCGGTCTTTTTCTGAAATTAGTTCTATCAGAACTTTTGATTTTTCAACCTTGTATACCACCATTCCCCATGTGAAATTGAAAAATCGTCTAAAAGAAATAATCCACAATGCTTTTCAACATAAAAATGGTAGCATACGCTATAAATTTATTACTTTGGGATATCATAAGGTATATTTTGTTAATAGTGAACAAAAGGGTAAAACATGCTACACAGAGGAACAAGTGATCAGTATGCTAAAGTTTCTTATTGACAAGATATTGTTGAATTTGGAGGTAGACTTTTTCAACAAATTGTCGGCATTCCTATGGGAACGAACTGTGCGCCTCTCCTTGCCGACCTCTTCTTATTTTCATATGGATCGGAGTTCCTTCAGACACTTGTCAAAAACAAGAAGATCAAAGAAGCCAGGTTATTTAATTTCACTTTCAGATATATTGATGATGTTCTTTCCATTAACAATCCAAACTTTTCTGATTGGGTTCCATTAATATATCCACCATAACTAGAAATTAAAGAAACAACAGACACGGCTTCCTCCGCCTCATTTTTAGACTTATACCTCGAATTTGACATACACAGTCATCTCAGTACCAGAATCTATGACAAACAAACGATTTTAGTTTTGAAATTATCAATTTCCCCTACCTTAGTAGCAATATACGAACTTCACTCGCATATGAGATATACATTTCCCAACTTATTCGGTATTCAAGAGCTTGCAGCTCCTACTCAGACTTTGTAAAACGTCACCAGTGTCTGAGCAGAAAGTTGATGAACCAGGGGTATGTCAAAGAACGTTTCATTCTTTTTCTAAAAAAGTTAATCGGAGGGTACCAAGACCTTGTTGATAAATATTCCGTATCAACTTCACAAATAATACACGATGGTCTTGAAGTATAGATTCTGCGTACTGACGTTGTTTATCATCTTAATAACGTGTTATAGTATTCTTTTATTTGTCTTTATTAATATTACTTCTACTGTTGTGTCTGTTTTTTGAGATATCTATTTGACGTGACTCTGTACTTATGTATCCCGTCATACTTTGAACATCGGCACTTAAAGTTAACCAGCGAGAGACGTTAACCACCGAGGGTCGGTTTTTAGACACGCCCAGTGCAACTATGCACGCCTACTTTTGGAGCTCTTTAGTATGAAGATAAGAAAAGTATACGGAATTGAGGGACTGTCGACAATGTTTTATCATTGTTCTTGGTTTACAGACGTTACCCGTAAATAAACTGGACCCCTGTTGTGTTTATTTATCGCTGCACTACGATGGAATGGCGGACCAGTTTAAACATGGTAAACAGATAAACAGCTGATTAAAGTAACCTGTAAGAAGAGAGTAACTATTGTTTATATTAGAGACGAGAATGCCTCGTGTTTTGTTCTGCTCAGAAAAAAGGAACCTTGGAGTTTATGGTTAGATTGTAATTCTTTCTTGAATCAAAACTGGGTAAATTTGATATAGGTAACAAACACTCCCCCTTTTTAAAAAATAACTCGAGAACCACACATCGGCCATCGCGCTCGCTGCACAAAGTAACAATAGTCAATAAGAAATAATTATTGTTACTTTCAACAGAGACATATAATATTGTATTATATGTCTCTGCTTTCAAGAATCATTAATTGTCAAAACGAACCCCCCCCCTCCGGACATCAAAGGAAGTTAAATGAATTATTATCCCAAATTAGTTCAAATTATTATCATAATGACGTCTTGAAATCCTATTTTATGTGTTTTTTTGGCTTTGAAGTATTTCTACTGCAGAAAAAAAACCATAATATAACCTTTTAAGAAGTCATAATTATTTGGACTACCCCTGAATATATTGCAGACAGGCTCTGATCTAAAAAATATTTTGAGAGCAATCTTTGAAATGATTGTTTAGGTAATTTAATTAGTATGTAATTAATATTAACTTAATTATAAACTTTCAAATTTATTGACCAATATGACCAACTCCTATGCTCTTTCCCATAAATGTCACAATATCATTATATTACAGTAATAACAGATAGTTTGATGACATTGTTTATGCCTATTGACCTCAGATCAGCCTAAACTGTAATTTATTCATTAATAAAATCCCAAGACATGAACCACCTGCAATGTGATTGCATCAAAATGACACCTAAGGCATATCATACTAATTGTGGAGGATGTGCCACTAAAATAAATACTGTCTTGTAAAATTAGATGATGATAGTCATAGCTAGTAATTATAATACGTGATGATAGATTTAAATCTGAGTAAAAGGTTGATTTATATGTGCTCATTCATCTTTTAATTAAAATATAAATTGAATCTTTTCTTTTATAATATTAAGATATTAAAATCACAATTATTTATTTGTACACTAAAAATATTTTTTGTCCTTTTAAGAACATGACAGTACACAAACATTATACACAAATAATTTTAATAATTCTGTCATGGTTTTTTTTATGTAGCCCCAGAATGGGCAGAACAGTGGCAAAAGACTAATCCAGATTACCAAAAAATAGAAATTGTTCAGCTACCAGTCATGACATAACTGCATAAGCATGATAAGAAAAATGTTGCAGTTTCCAGAATTTGAGGTAGAGTATAGTCAGGAATAGTTTAAATATGCAGATGTTTAGTTTGCAATAAACAATTATGTCCTTGATAGAAAAGTAGAGAAAACAAAAGAGTATGAAATAGTTGAAAAAAGTAATCATTATTACCTAGTCATAAATAATGTAAATAGAAAAGAGAAAGGCAATGGTTACAACTTGGTTTTATTAATAGCATTATCATTTGTCCATAATTTGGAATGAATCTCGACATTTTCATGTCACAATTTAATCTAAATGCATCCTCATTTATAAAATAATATTATTTTCAGTCTACTGAAACAGGTAATTTTTTTTTTATTAAAAAGAACAATGAAACAATAGTTGAACAGTTTTACCTAGCCTGTTAAGCTGATAGCTTGTTGATTTATAAAATTGATTAACTCATGGGTTAACAGGTAGTAAAATTTTATAATACAATCCTGGTACCTGATACAGCCTTCAAAATCTGAAGGTTCGTTTCAACCCAGTCCTGATAAATTTATCAATGAAAACTAATCAACAGAAAAAATAAAAATTCACTCGGTAAAATGATAATTTTTAAAAAAATAATACAATATTCATTCATACCATTTGTTGCGTAAAATAGTTGTGATACTTATCATACATATATGATTTACTCCTAATACTCTAACTGTATTGTATGGTAACCACCGACGGTAGTTATGGACAAATACTGTATATAGACTGTGTATAGGAGTACTGTATTGTATGGTAACCACCGACGGTAGGTATGGACAAATCCTGTATATATAGACTGTGTAAAGGAGTACTGTATTGTATGGTAACTACCGACGGTAGGTATGGACAAATACTGTATATATAGACTGTGTAAAGGAGTACTGTATTGTATGATAACTACCGACGGTAGGTATGGACAAATACTGTATATATAGACTGTGTAAAGGAGTACTGTATTGTATGGTAACCACCGACTGTAGGTATGGACAAATACTGTATATAAAGACTGTGTAAAGGAGTACTGTATTGTATGGTAACCACCGACGGTAAGTATGGACAAATACTGTATATAGACTGTGTAAAGGAGTACTGTATTGTATGGTAACCACCGACGGTAGGTTTAGACACATACTGTATATAGACTTTGTATAGGAGTACTGTATTGTATGGTAACCACCGACGGTAGGTATAGACAAATACTGTATATAGACTGTGTATAGGAGTACTGTATTGTATGTTAACCACGGTAGGTATGAACAAATACTGTATATAGACTTTGTATAGGAGTACTATATTGTATGGTAACCACCGACGGTAGGTTTAGACACATACTGTATATAGACTTTGTATAGGAGTACTGTATTGTATGGTAACCACCGACGGTAGGTATAGACAAATACTGTATATAGACTTTGTATAGTAACCACCGACGGTAGGTATGAACAAATACTGTATATAGACTGTGTATAGGATTACTGTATTGTATGGTAACCACCGACTGTAGGTATGGACAAATACTGTATATAGACTGTGTATAGGAGTACTGTATTGTATGGTAACCACCGACTGTTGGTATGGACAAATACTGTATATAGACTGTGTATAGGAGTACTGTATTGTATGGTAACCACCCACGGTAGTTATGGACAAATACTGTATATAGACTGTGTATAGGAGTACTGTATTGTATGGAAACCACCGACGGTAGGTATGGACAAATCCTGTATATATAGACTGTGTAAAGGAGTACTGTATTGTATGGTAACTACCGACGGTAGGTATGGACAAATACTGTATATATAGACTGTGTAAAGGAGTACTGTATTGTATGGTAACTACCGACGGTAGGTATGGACAAATACTGTATATATAGACTGTGTAAAGGAGTACTGTATTGTATGGTAACCACCGACTGTAGGTATGGACAAATACTGTATATATAGACTGTGTAAAGGAGTACTGTATTGTATGGTAACCACCGACGGTAGGTTTAGACACATACTGTATATAGACTTTGTATAGGAGTACTGTATTGTATGGTAACCACCGACGGTAGGTATAGACAAATACTGTATATAGACTTTGTATAGTAACCACCGATGGTAGGTATGAACAAATACTGTATATAGACTGTGTATAGGATTACTGTATTGTATGGTAACCACCGACTGTAGGTATGGACAAATACTGTATATAGACTGTGTATAGGAGTACTGTATTGTATGGTAACCACCGACTGTAGGTATGGACAAATACTGTATATAGACTGTGTATAGGAGTACTGTATTGTATGTTAACCACGGTAGGTATGAACAAATACTGTATATAGACTTTGTATAGGAGTACTATATTGTATGGTAACCACCGACGGTAGGTTTAGACACATACTGTATATAGACTTTGTATAGGAGTACTGTATTGTATGGTAACCACCGACGGTAGGTATAGACAAATACTGTATATAGACTTTGTATAGTAACCACCGACGGTAGGTATGAACAAATACTGTATATAGACTGTGTATAGGATTACTGTATTGTATGGTAACCACCGACTGTAGGTATGGACAAATACTGTATATAGACTGTGTATAGGAGTACTGTATTGTATGGTAACCACCGACTGTTGGTATGGACAAATACTGTATATAGACTGTGTATAGGAGTACTGTATTGTATGGTAACCACCGACGGTAGTTATGGACAAATACTGTATATAGACTGTGTATAGGAGTACTGTATTGTATGGTAACCACCGACGGTAGGTATGGACAAATCCTGTATATATAGACTGTGTAAAGGAGTACTGTATTGTATGGTAACTACCGACGGTAGGTATGGACAAATACTGTATATATAGACTGTGTAAAGGAGTACTGTATTGTATGGTAACTACCGACGGTAGGTATGGACAAATACTGTATATATAGACTGTGTAAAGGAGTACTGTATTGTATTGTAACCACCGACTGTAGGTATGGACAAATACTGTATATATAGACTTTGTAAAGGAGTACTGTATTGTATGGTAACCACCGACGGTAAGTATGGACAAATACTGTATATAGACTGTGTAAAGGAGTACTGTATTGTATGGTAACCACCGACGGTAGTTATGGACAAATACTGTATATAGACTGTGTATAGGAGTACTGTATTGTATGGTAACCACCGACAGTAGGTATAGACAAATACTGTATATAGACTGTGTATAGGAGTACTGTATTGTATGTTAACCATGGTAGGTATGAACAAATACTGTATATAGACTTTGTATAGGAGTACTATATTGTATGGTAACCACCGACGGTAGGTTTAGACACATACTGTATATAGACTTTGTATAGGAGTACTGTATTGTATGGTAACCACCGACGGTAGGTATAGACTAATACTGTATATAGACTTTGTATAGTAACCACCGACGGTAGGTATGAACAAATACTGTATATAGACTGTGTATAGGATTACTGTATTGTATGGTAACCACCGACTGTAGGTATGGACAAATACTGTATATAGACTGTGTATAGGAGTACTGTATTGTATGGTAACCACCGACTGTTGGTATGGACAAATACTGTATATAGACTGTGTATAGGAGTACTGTATTGTATGTTAACCACGGTAGGTATGAACAAATACTGTATATAGACTTTGTATAGGAGTACTATATTGTATGGTAACCACCGACGGTAGGTTTAGACACATACTGTATATAGACTTTGTATAGGAGTACTGTATTGTATGGTAACCACCGACGGTAGGTATAGACAAATACTGTATATAGATTTTGTATAGTAACCACCGACGGTAGGTATGAACAAATACTGTATATAGACTGTGTATAGGATTACTGTATTGTATGGTAACCACCGACTGTAGGTATGGACAAATACTGTATATAGACTGTGTATAGGAGTACTGTATTGTATGGTAACCACCGACTGTTGGTATGGACAAATACTGTATATAGACTGTGTATAGGAGTACTGTATTGTATGGTAACCACCGACGGTAGTTATGGACAAATACTGTATATAGACTGTGTATAGGAGTACTGTATTGTATGGTAACCACCGACGGTAGGTATGGACAAATCCTGTATATATAGACTGTGTAAAGGAGTACTGTATTGTATGGTAACTACCGACGGTAGGTATGGACAAATACTGTATATATAGACTGTGTAAAGGAGTACTGTATTGTATGGTAACTACCGACGGTAGGTATGGACAAATACTGTATATATAGACTGTGTAAAGGAGTACTGTATTGTATGGTAACCACCGACTGTAGGTATGGACAAATACTGTATATATAGACTGTGTAAAGGAGTACTGTATTGTATGGTAACCACCGACGGTAAGTATGGACAAATACTGTATATAGACTGTGTAAAGGAGTACTGTATTGTATGGTAACCACCGACGGTAGTTATGGACAAATACTGTATATAGACTGTGTATAGGAGTACTGTATTGTATGGTAACCACCGACAGTAGGTATAGACAAATACTGTATATAGACTCTGTATAGGAGTACTGTATTGTATGTTAACCACGGTAGGTATGAACAAATACTGTATATAGACTTTGTATAGGAGTACTATATTGTATGGTAACCACCGACGGTAGGTTTAGACACATACTGTATATAGACTTTGTATAGGAGTACTGTATTGTATGGTAACCACCGACGGTAGGTATGGACAAATACTGTATATAGACTTTGTGTAGGAGTACTGTATTGTATGGTAACCATTGACGGTAGGTATAGACAAATACTGTATATAGACTGTGTATAGGTTTACTGTATTGTATGGTTACCACCGACGGTAGGTATGGACAAATACTGTATATATAGACTGTGTAAAGGAGTACTGTATTGTATGGTAACCACCGACTGTAGGTATGGACAAATACTGTTGATAGACTGTGTATAGGAGTACTGTAGTGTATGGTAACCACCGACGGTAGGTATAGACAAATACTGTTGATAGACTGTGTATAGGAGTACTGTATTGTATGGTAACCACCGACTGTAGGTATGAACAAATACTGTATATAGACTGTGTATAGGAGTACTGTATTGTATGGTAACTACCGACGGTAGGTATAGACAAATACTGTATATAGACTGTGTATAGGAGTACTGTATTGTATGGTAACCACCGACGGTAGGTATGAACAAATACTGTATATAGACTGTGTATAGGAGTACTGTATTGTATGGTAACCAACGACGGTAGGTATGGACAAATACTGTATATAAACTGTGTATAGGATTACTGTATTGTATGGTAACCACCGACTGTAGGTATGAACAAATACTGTATATAGACTGTGTATAGGAGTACTGAATTGTATGGTAACCACCGACGGGAGGTATAGACAATTACTGTATATAGACTGTGTATAGGAGTACTGTATTGTATTTTAACTACCGTCGGTAGGTATGGACAAATACTGTATTTAGACTGTGTATAGGAGTACTGTATTGTATGGTAACCACCGACTGTAGGTATGAACACATACTGTATATAGACTTTGTGTAGGAGTACTGTATTGCATGGTAACCACCGACGGTAGGTATAGACAAATACTGTTGATAGACTGTGTATAGGAGTACTGTATTGTATGTTAACCACGGGAGGTATGGACAAATACTGTATATATAATGTGTATAGGAGTACTGTATTGTATGTTAACCACCGACGGTAGGTATGGACAAAAACTGTATATAGACTTTGTAAAGGAGTCTTGTATTTTATGGGAACCACCGACGGTAGGTATAGACAAATACTGTATTTAGACTTTGTATAGGTGTACTGTATTGTATGGTAACCACCGACGGTAGGTATAGACAAATACTGTGTATAGAATTTATTTATTTAAATGAAAAGTGTTGCACATAAATTGTATTTCTGCATTGAAATTTTATGTAATCTTTTCCCTTCAAATGGTGGAATGGTCCTATTTGTCCTTAAATGGCAAATAAAACTTACTGTTCTTTGCTTTTATGTTTGATATATTTTTGAATATTCTTCACGTGGAGATCTGATCTTGTCTATTAAATTTTGTCATTTTACTTATTACATGTATGTTAATTGCAGCAACTGAATTGGACTTATTTATTAAAAGTGATAATATTTCTGTTGTAGGTAATCAGGATTTAGTGTTTCCATACAAGTGTCAAAGATTGAACGACAAAAACATCTAAAACTTTACAGGACAGAGTAGACTTTTTTCACTGTGCTTAGTTTTGTCTTTATGTCTAAATAATGATACCTTTTAAAAAAACCAATAAAATATGGAATAAAAAAGATTGTTATCTTATAAAATGGAGTGAAGAAATAAGGGGTGATTGAAAACATAAGAATATATTGCTATCATATATGCAGATCAGCAGTACATGCATGTGCTATAGATGCACATAAATAAGGGGCCAACACTGGACACTTTTAATTTGCAAAACACTCATTTGCAAATCCGCCGCCGCCTCTCCTTAGAGCTACAGTGTCGTGTATATAACCAAAATGTGCGGAATTACATGGGATTCAATAATTTAATTGCTTTTCTGCTGTTATTATTATAGATATTTTGTAATTTGATTTAGAAAAACATGGGATTTTCAATATCCCATGGGATACGGCAAATCCCATGGGATTGACCATTATCCCATGGGATTTTGGTTAAATCCCATAGGATTTTTTTGGGGTCCCATGGGATAATTGTAGTCCCATGGGATATTTGTTGTCCCATGGGACAAAAAAAATCCCATGGGACTATAATTATCCCATGGGATTTTTAATATCCCATGGGACACATGGGATAAAATAAAATCCTATGGGATTCAAATTATAAATATACAGTAAATAAATGTGTATGTTACAATGAATTCTGTTTGGTAGTAAATTGTTTTAAGATGAATCTTTTTAGTTGAATATCTTTTTTTCCTTGGAAATGTTAATGCAATTATGTTGTTCTATAACTGTTCAAAACTAAACTTTTAAACAACAAAGCAGATAATGTAAGTATCAATATATGTTTATTTATGAATTCTAGAATACTTTTTTGAAACACAATTTTTCCCATTTGAAATCAATGAAAACTCTATTAATAGGCTTAACATACTAGTAGCTTTTTACATAAATCTATTTTTTTTTCAGGATATCCCTCTACCCAAAAAATTAATAGTTTCTTATCATCCAGCATTGTGTGATCGTAGTGTATAGTCCACTTTTTGGCCATTCAGCACAGAACATAGTCATTATTGTGGTTTTAATATCTTTAGATATTTAATAGAACTTCAATTCATTGACTGAGTGATGAAAATAATAACTGATCTGACTTTTGTCTTTGAATTTATTTTGGTCTTGTTTCTGTGTTTTCTCTTTTTATTCTAAGTGATGAATTTCAATCCTTCTGAAAAAGAACCAATAAAATCCGAAGTTATGGATAATAAAAAATTGTTTGCATACATGTAGCAATAACATATGATTTTCAATAAAAATAGCTATGCGGTATGGATTTTACTGATTGTTGAAGGTTGTCCTGTGTCATCAGTTGCTAACCTCCTACATCCTTTGGTCTCTGATGGAGAGTTGTCAAATTAGCAACATACCACATCTTCCTATTCTAATATTATATAACAATCAATTTATGTATTCTTCTTTATAACATTTGGGTATTTTCCCCAGTTATATATATATATATATATATATAGATCAATGTTAAAACTTTAGGCAATTACAATAAAATTCCATTTTTCACAAGAATTTGCAATATATTATACAGAAAACCAACAATAGAAACAGCACTTCTTCAAGCTTCTGAAGTTCTGAAAGAGTTCCACTTGTGTTTTATTTCAATTAGAAAATACATTGAACTCTTTGGACATGTTGGAAATTATAACATTGATACAAAAAATTATATTGTTTTTTTTCTTATTTTTGTGTTGTTCGGTTGCTGTCTCATTTTTATATATGGTTATACATATATCCTAAATCTTCTTTTTTTTTAAACTTAATCATTAATAGTAAAAATGGGATATTTTTTATTTTGATAATCTCAAAACATTATTATTCTATCAAATAACTTATTTCCAAGTTCACAAAACACCAATGTGTTAGATATTAAATTTAAGACATGTATAAACATGATCAACAAGCAGTTGACAGGATGTCATGCAAAAATCTCACTAATATTAAACCTTCACAAAAACTCCATACTCAGCGAGTACTATTAACGTTCTTTATAGTACATGACAAATTCCTAATACAGGACACCATGCCTGGTAAACACTAGCATGTGTCAATGTCTAGTCAATCATGTAATCAGGCTCAAAATCTTAGTTTGGCACTGAATTTAAAAATTCAACACATAATGAACATGTGTATGAAATTCAACTTTATGGTAAGCTATATACCTTAACCTAAAACTTTAACCTAAGAATGTACTATAATTTCACATCATGACATTTCTATGTTCAGTGATTCATAAAATCAGGGTAAAAACAGTAAATGTGGTGTATAATGTATAAACATGAGTGCACACGCTGAAATGTTGCGCCTTCCTTACTAATCATTGATATCATGTTGATAGTCCTAAATATAAAGCTTTACTACAACTATCACATAAACTCAACATGATCCAAGAAAATGAATTCAAGGTCATATGAACCTGACAAGAAATATATGTACACCTTACAATCATTCAATATACTAAATACAGTTGAACTATTGCTTATAGTTTCTATCATTGTCTAAGAAGCAGACTTAACCAAGAAAACTAAACATTGACCAATGAACCATGAAAATGAGGTGAAGGGCAGATGAACCATGCCAGGCAGACATGTACAGCTTACAATCCTTCCATACAACACATATAGCTGACCTATTGCTTATAGATTAAGAAAAACAGACCAAAACACTAAAACTTAACACTGAGCAATGAACCGTGAAAATGAGGTCAAGGTCAAATAAAACCTGCGAGACTGACATACATGTACATCATAAAATGTTTCCATACACCAAATATAGTTGAACTATTGCATTTAGTATTAGAAAAAAAGACCAAAACTCAAAAATTTAACTTTGACTACTGAACCATGAAAATGAGGACAAGGTCAGATGACACCTGCCAGCTAGACATGTACACCTTAAAATCATTCCATACACCAAATATAGTAGACCTATTGCATACAGTATAAGAAAAACAGACCAAAACACAAAAACTTAACTATAACCACTGAACCATGAAAATGAGGTCAAGGTCAGATGACACCTGCCAGTTGGTCATGTACACCTTACAGTCCTTCCATACACCGAATATACTAGACCTATTGCTTATAGTATCTGAGATATGGACTTGACCACCAAAACTTAACCTTAAATATAAAAAAGAAGATGTGGTATGATTGCAAATGAGACAACAACTCTCCACAAGTGACCAAATGACACAGAATTTAACAACTATAGGTCACCGTACGGCCTTCAACAATGAGCAAAGCCCATACTGCAGTCAGCTATAAAAGGCCCCGAAATGACAATATAAAACAATTCAAACGAGAAAACTAACAGCCTAATTTATGTAAAAAAAATGAACGAAAAACAAATATGTAACACATAAACAAACGACAACCACTGAACTACAGGCTCCTGACTTGGGACAGGCACATACATACAGAATGTGGTGGGGTTAAACATGTTAGCGGGATCCCAACCCTTCCCCTAACCTGGGACAGTGGTGTAACAGTACAACATAAGAACGAACTATAAAAATCAGTTGAAAGAGGCTCAACTCATCAGATGGATAAAAATACAAATACTACAAATACAAGTGGACGTGGCCGGGTACTTGTACATCCAAACAACAAAAAGACACTAAGTATAGATCTGAGAGTACTCGCAGTCACTGACAGCTAGTACAAAGCCACTAACAACTAATAAAAAAAATCATGCATCTAAGACTAAGTTCTTGTTCACTGATCCATGAAATGAGGTCTAGGTCAAGTGAAAACTCTCTGACGAGCATGAGGACCTTGCAAGGTACGCACATACCAAATATAGAGAAATTAACATTCAACAAAATCTGAACTTTTTTTTCAAGTAGTCACTGAACCATGAAAATGAGGTCAAGGACAATGGACATGTTTCAGACAGAATTGGTATCATGACATGCATGAGGCATCTATATACAAAGTATGAAGCATCCAGGTCTTCCACCTTCTAAAATAAAAAGCTTTTAGGAAGTTAGCTAACGCCACCGCCGTAGCCGCCAAACGATCACTATCCCTATGTCGAGCTTTCTGCGACAAAAGTTGCAGGCTCGACAAAAATACATGAACATTTTAAAGTACTAAATTTTTAGTATATACATGTAAAACCACAAGTTACTAACTGAAGTTCAGTCTCATGGTGAACTGTAACCAAAAACTTTAAGTGAATACAATTTAGAGAAAGACAGATGGACGCACAAACACTATCAAAACAGAGCATAAAACTTACCGAACAAGATCTTTCAGAAGCAGGAAAATAGAAGTGTTTCTTTTCTTTCTCTGCCCTCCATGATATAAACTTCAAATTCATTCATGCAAAATATGAAAATCTGCAAAAGTAGGACCTTGTACCGCAGCTTATCCACATTTTGACTTTTGAACTGCATTGTTCTTTTCATCTTGCTGGAAACCTAAACATAAAAAAAAAAAATGATAAACACATAATTCCGGATTAACTTCGTGTATTTATTTTTGTTGGTACAAACAATTTTTTCCAACTTTAAACTAAATCTGCCTCTGCTTTAAAATACAACTGGAAACCATTATTAACTGCATGTATTTATCTTAATTGAAAACAATTTCTTGAGTTTTTCTCATTTGTATCACCCTGTTATTATATATAAATTTTATTTTTGTCCCTTTTTAAAAATAGGAATGCATGGTTTAAATTCCTCAATAATCATGATAATTCTAGGTCAGTCAATTAAAAATGTATGAATAAATTATTTAACCTATATACTATTAATATCAATATATTTATTTTTTGATAAAAACTAGGCTCTGTGTTAAAGACCATACCTTGACCTATAATGGTTTACTTTTATAAATTGTGAATTGGATGGATAGTTGTCTCATTCACGACATTGGCACTCATACCACATCTTCCTATATCTACAAACAAATTCTATGGGCGAGCAGACATTACACCCTGGAGGTGGATTTATAAAAAGCATACGACTTAGATGTACCATAAGCATGGAAAAACAATTCAGCAGTCAGTTTCACAAAAAAACTTACAAATAATATTGATAGTAATTAA